AGATGAGAATGCTTAGATGGATGAGTGGAGTGACTAAAAAAGATAGAATAAGGAACGAGCATATAAGAGGGAGTATAGGTGGAGCGTCAATCGTGGATAAGATGAGAGAAAATAGACTTACATAGTTTGGTCATGTTATGAGGGGAGAACAATCGGAAGCCGTAAGAACAGTTATAGAAATGAATGTTGAATGAAAAAAGAGGTAGAGGAAGACCAAAAAAGAGATGGAGGGATGCTATTGAATGCGATATGAGAACAGCTGAGCGTAGATGATGTGGGGGATCGTTTCAAGTGAAAGTTTAGGATTAGGATGGCCGACCCCAAGTAGTTGGGATTAAGACGGGGAAGAAGAAAAAGATTTATACTATAGATAATATTGAGAATCATGGCACTCATTTGTTAAAACGCGGGACAGACAAAATCTCTTTTTAATATTCAAATATTTTATCTTCAATACGAAGCTGNATATTCAAATATTTTATCTTCAATACGAAGCTTAGAAGGTATTAATTTTACCATATGTCAAAAGATCACAAATCGTATCTAGTTGAAGTCATTATCCTTAAAAATTGAAAAAATTTTCCTCGTTCCCCGCAAATGGGGGAAATCTTCAAACAAATTAAAAATTTTAAAATCCGTAAATTTTGTCATTTTTTTTCACTTTTTTTCTTAAAACTTCCAAAACTTTGTCAAAAATCAACAAAAATTTTTTTTTTGAAATCTTAAATATTTTTCTTTCATTTGATATCTTTTTTTGAAAATAGTAACTTTTTTACAAAAATTAACTTTTTCAACTTAACTTTAGAAAATATTCCGGAAATACTGCGTCCTTTAAACATATATCAAATCAAAGGTTATGTCATGTACTATACAATGAAAAAAAAAATTTGTCCCGACACCTTATCGTCTATGAGTAAATTGCCACCGAAATTAAATAAAAAACGTGAAAATATTTGCAAAAGAAATAAGGTCCTAAAGTGTTCTATGTTTTTTTGTATTTAAAACTATCATAACTTAATGAAATATTAACAAAAACAAAATAATATTTTTTTATATTGAAACCTTAGGTAATTTTCATTCATTTGATATCATTTTTTTTTTTGAAAATCTAACACTTATTCTACTCACAGAGGAGGATTTAAAATAGCAACTTTTTTACAAAAACTAANTATATATCTTAAATTAAAGCTTATGTAATATACTTTAATTTGAAAAAAAAAAATTTGACCTCTGGATTTGTCTTCATGGTAAAAATGACTACCGTATTCAAAAATTTGCTATTTTTGTGTTAAAATTCTGGGTTTTGTATTTTATTTTATTTTAAAATACCTGACAAGGGGAGTACAGATTTTGATAAATATTATATAAATTAAAATTAATATAGCATAGAAAGTTAATTTTATTTAAATTTGTTTGCTTCTTTTAAGTCGAGAAAAATAACTTTAAAATTTGAATTAGCTTAAATGCCAATTTTTTCAATTGACGTAACCGACGTACGGTTGCCGAGTTAGAAAAACTTATGTTTTACACGCTTGGGGTACGAGGTTCCATCCCGCGTATGGCAATGAATTTTTTGCACTTTTTCTTAATTCTTTTTAAGTTAGTATAAATTTTTAACTCGTTTGATTTTTATCTCATTTAGATTCAATAACTTCAATAAAAATCAAGGATCCCATAATTTTAGCCCCCCCTTGTAAGAAGAAATTTCTTATTCGTATTAAAATTATTATTTTGGTAACATGTTGCTATATAAATCATTTCTAAAAAAAATGATAGTTAATTTCTCCTGAATTAACAATGGATTTTTACAATTATAATCAAATTTTATAATACGCTCAATTGAGTAAATCTTTTTAACAACTTTGTTTTGATTAGTTCATGTAGTTAAAGTAAATCATTAAAATTAATTAAGTTCTCATTATTTCAATTGTAGAATCTTTTCAAACAACAAAATTTACTAGGAAATTATTACTATTACTTCTATTTAAGTTATCTATTACCGTAAAAATGCAAAAAAATATTGAGCTTTTCTGATAAATTTACAATAAATAGTAATTATAAAACTTTCTGACTTTATATTGATCTTAACGATACAATTTTTTTAATTCACATAAAATTTTTTATTTAATGATGTCCTAGTTTCAATAAGCATGTTTAAAGTTTTTAAAAAGTTATAGCAACATAGTATTAAAAAATGTAAATTATATATCAAGAATTTTTTCACAAAGTGGCATATTTTTGCATACAGTAGTCATTTTCACCATGAATACAAGTCATGAATACAAGATGAAAAAAGAAGTTTTAACAAACATTAACTGCGCTAAAAAATTTGAAAAAAAAATGAAGGAGCAAAAAGATATTTATTCAACTAATGTTAATGATAGAATTGTAAAAGCAGAGGAAGAAGTAGAAATCGCCATAAAAAAAGAGTTTTCTGAACGTGCTGAATGGAACAGGCTAAAATATTATGAAGATATAGCTATCATAAATGCTGTTGCTAGTGGAATCAATGATGTATTAAAAGAATATTCCAAAAAAGAACAAGAACTGTTCAAACTATTTTTAATATGGAGTACATGTCAGTCATTATACATTACATTAAATTCATATGATACACGTAGATATTGTAACAAATCTCTGCATTTTTTAAAATATAAAATTAATACTTTCAAAAAAATCACTGAAGCATTTCCCAAAATTTACCAAATTTTAGAAACTTTACCAAATCAAGTAATAAATAGGGGTGTATGTTCTAAAGAAAATCTTGTGGATCGATTTTATAAAGTAGAAAAAAAAGCTTATCAAATGGGCATCATTAAAAAGGATGACCCAAATATATTTGATATAGTATTTTCGTATATAATAAGCACTTTTGTCTATCAAGAATCTAAATCAATTCCTCAGAATGAAATTGATAATGTACCAATTAATATTCATGAGCTGAATACTTACGACAAATTACAAAGAGCTAAATATTGGATGAAAAATAATAATTTTTTGAATGCTCTTAAGTTTATGAATTTACTTGATGGAGGAGCTAAAATAGTAGCTAAAGAATGGATTACAGAAATGACATATTTCTTAGAAACTATGCAAGTTGTAGATGTTTTAACGTTGCATGCACTAGCTCGTTTATTAGGTTTAACTAAAAAACCAAACGAAAAATAAGTCGTCATAAAATTGTTTAAATTTTTATAAGGCTAATATTTTACAATAAATGATAAATCAAATTGTTTCATTACGTAAACATTCTTAGATGGAACTTGTAGTGTTGTACTCAATTTAATTCAAAATTTTAATAATGAATGTTAGATTTATTACTTTTTATTATTATCTTTAGTTACAGATTATTCTTGAATTATTAACTATNATTTTTTTTTATTACTATCTTTAGTTACACATTATTCTTGAATTATTAACTATGTAATACTTTATAAGTTCATCCCTTATGCCTGGTAAGGGTGTCAACTTTGTTTTTTTAAATGGTAACACATATTTTGAATTTAATAAAATGATTGAGTTTTAAATTCAATAGTAAATGGCATTTGAATTTTTAATGAAACTTAATTTGTTTATTAGATATAAACATTTAAAGTTTCAAATTTTTGAGTTAATGTATAGGTATAATACACAAGGGATTACAAATACAGGTAGCTAATTGGCTTTTTATGACCTCGATATTAGCAGGTACACAGCATTGTTATAATGATAGTAATGTACATTGTTGTGAGTTTATAAATACACTAACTGACAATACAAAAAGTATATCTATTGATAGTCATAATTGATAATAAACAATCCGTGACTGTGATAGCAATATCATAAAAAACCAATTAGCTACCTGTATTTGTAATCCCTTGTGTATTAGCTGCGATGCGAAGCTGAGAAGGTATTAATTTTACCATGATGTGTTTTTTTTTTTTTATGTCTGTTGCCACTTTTTCTCAGCTCTCACTGGACCGATTTCTTTCAAAAATACGTCAAAAGATCACAAATCGTATCTAGTTGGAGACATTACCCTTAAAAATTGAAAAAAATTTCCTCGTTCCCCGAAAATGGGGGAAATATCGAAAAAAATTACAAAATTAAAAATCGATAAATTTTGTCATTTTTTTCACTTTTTTTTCTTAAAACTTTCATAACTTTTTGAAAAATAAACAAATCAACATAATTTTTTTTTCCACTAAAACCTTAGATATTTCCCTTTTGTTTGATATCATTTTGTTTTTTTTAATGATAACACATATTTTGAATTTAGTANGTTTTTTTAAACGGTAACACATATTTTTAATTTAATAAAATGTTTGAGTTTTTAATTCAATAGTAAATGGCATTTGAATTTTTAATGAAACTTAATTTGTTTATTAGATATAAACATTTTAAGTTTCAAATTTTTGAGTTAATATATAGGTATAAAAAAAACCCAGCCCTCAGAATAGGAAATAATGATCACTTTCGAAAATTCTTCAATATTTATTCAATATTATTCAATAATCGCTTACAAAATTGTGGGGAGCTCCGCCACCACATGCCACACACCGCCAACTTAACATAATCCCAATATTTAAATTATTATTTAAATATTTAAATACTATTATTATATTTGTAATATCATTTTGGAAAAATTAATATAACACATTTTATTTTTTTCTATAGTATTTGATTATATCACATTTTTTATTTTATTTTATTTTTTATATCAAGAGAGAAATTTTGAAGTGTTAAACATAATTTTCGGTCAACATTTGCAAATGTGGTTACAATTTTTCCGGAAACAATGCAATTAGCAAGATCTGTTTCGATATTCAAAAAATTTAAATTTGTAACATGCTGCTTTGTAACCAGTTATTCAACCTCCTCATGTATTTGGATATTTCTTTATTTAGAATTTCTTTAATTTCATCTTTACTGTTTTGTAAGCAGTTCTTTGTTACTAGTGTTTCTCATTTTAAGCATTTGGTGTTTGAATTTATTATGTCCTAAAATCATAGAATATTTTTTAACTTTCTAAAATGTCATGATTTTATTACTCTTGGTACTTAATAACTTATTTAATATGCACCTTATAATGCAGAATAAAATTTTGACTATTTTCATAATCCATATTTATAAAATTATCAATAGCTTTAGCCATCTTAAGATTTTCATTTGAAAACCTGAACTCTAAATTTTTAATAATATTATCAATAATTGGGAAATAAATTGATTGTCTCCAATAGGCTTCAACTGATTTTTTTTTGTTCTTCATAGTTAGCTACAGTAGCCATTTCCAAATGGAAATTTTTCAAATTATTTGGTTTGCTTCTCTTTCGTTTTGATACTTTAAAAAAATTTTTTTTTTAAATTTTGCTTTAAATATTTATAGTAACTATAACAAAGAATCAAACTCACCAAGATGAGAGACATTAAATGATATTTCATTTATTTCAAAAAATTTGACACAGCACCGCCTTTTGCTCTAGGCTGGTGCTCGCCCGTGTCTCTCTCGATATCAGCCGTCCAGTTATTAATATGACAATCGGATGTCTCCCCGCCCTTGACACTGAGATAAGGCCGCCACCGAATATGGATTACTGATATTGCGTTCTGTTCCGTTTTCGACGTACACCTCATCTGGTGTGTTTTCCTGTTTGCCTTTCAGACGTAGACCTTAACTGGTTGCCTCGTCTGTTCTGTGTTTTTCTTTTTCTTCAGCTTTTGGCTCGTCTCTGTAACGTTTGTTCTCGACGTCTGTTACTGTGGCCTTACGAACTTCGTCAGTCAAAATAACTAGTGCGGATATTGTCAGCCTGCAATTGTGCTACGACATAAGTGTTGGTGTTACTTATTTAGTGCCCGCTAAAGCGAACTATATATATATATATATATATTAATATTTATTTATCGGTGTATTTTGTACACGCCTAATCGTATACTGGATACGCGACAAATTGTACAATTTTCAGCCATAAAAGTGAAAATGTCTTATCAGTTCTCATATTTTTAAATGATTTAATTACACTATTTATAACAATTTCTGCCTTCCCTAATGTAGCTATTTTAGATTGTAGTGTTGTACTTAATATGTTTATAACTCCTAAAACATCTTTTAAAACAAATAGTAATGTAACAAATTGGCATTTTGTTATTTGATTAATGATACCTAAAAATAAAATGCAACATTTTAGCTTCGATGCGAAGCTGAGAAGGTATTGGTTTTACTAAGATGTGTTTTTTTTTTTTT